GTTTGCGTTCGGGACTTTTGATAACACGGCGTCCTGTTGGCGTACAGGACTTTCGATAAGACGGCGTCCTGTTTGCGTACGGGACTTTCGATAAGACGGCGTCCTGTTGGCGTACAGGACTTTCGAGATGGAAGAGTCACGTTTGCGTACGGGACTTTTCGAGAAGGCGGTGTCTCGTTTGCGTTCGGGACTTTTTGAGAAGGCGGTGTCTCGTTTGCGTTCGGGACAATTTCGACTTCGATGCCACCAACGGGTAACGGATTACTGCCGATTGTTAGACAGGTACTGCTATTCCGTTGAATACTTCCTGCAGTCGGATCTGAACTAGCTCGGTTTCCCCTCGGGGGACCCGGCCTAGCTGTCTCTTATACACATCTAATAAGACGGCGTCCTGTTGGCGTACAGGACTTTCGAGATGGAAGAGTCACGTTTGCGTACGGGACTTTCGATAAGACTGCGTCCTGTTTGCGTACAGGAATTTCGATTAGGCGGTGTTCCGTTTGCGTGCGGGACTTTCGATAAGACGGCGTCCTGTTTGCGTATAGGACTTTCGATTAGGCGGTGTTCCGTTTGCGTGCGGGGCAATTTAGACTTCGATGCCACCAACGGGTAACGGATTACTGCCGATTGTTAGACAGGTACTGCTATTTCTGTTGAATACTTCCTGCAGTCGGATCTGAATCAGCCCAAGAAAGGCAACGTTACCTGGGTGTCGGAGTTGGAATCCGACTTACGAAGAAGGAAAGGATCCTACTGCGCTAGGGTCCGTCGTTTATATTTTTTGGTTCGGGAAGGCGATCAAGGTCCTATCGAGTTAGGATCTCACGTTGGAGGACAGGAAATGATCCTTTTGCGCAAGGATTCGAAACTCCTAGAGCGCTAGGTTTTTTGGAGGCGAGAATCAAAGGTCGAACGGGATCTGACATCCTATGCGATGGTGTCGTTAGTATAAACAAAAAGGGTCGAACGTTTTTGCGGGAGATTAAAGGTCGAACGGTTTTCGAGAGAATAAAGGTCGAAAGTTTGGCGAGAAAATAAAGGTCGAACGGAATCCTAATGCGATAGGATCCGACATCCTGTGCGAGGGTGTCTTAAAATCGGACAGGGACGGGATCAAGCTGTTAACCTGCTCGTGGTGATCCTGCTAAGACGGCCACCGTCGTCGAACAGATAACAGCGCCTTTCAAAGATTTAAAGTTAATAAAATGAAAGAAACAAAAAATTGTTTTCTCCTTTCGTTTATCTTTGTCAAACACAATCACAGACAAGTTAGGTCGTTAACAAATGCATTACGTGTGTGAGCGAGATTTTCCAATTTTATGATTAGTTTGAAGGATACGATGATGTTGGTGTCGATGTTATATGCAATTGAGTTGTCGATGGTATTCCGGTTTCCGTGTAAACCAAAAAAAAGTAATAATATATGACGAGGTCGTGCTTACGTCCTGCAGAGTCACGTTACAACGTATCAACGATGAACATACTTTGTTTTGACTCTTTTAATAT